GGAGTCCAACAGTTTAGCAAATAAAAAGAGAACTTAGTGTTCCAGGGAGATGAATTTAAACTGCATGGAGATGAGGTGAGTGAAGTATTTCATTGAATACACCGGTATTGTGTGATAATAATTTGTTATCCAGAGCAAATTTTTACAATGGCTACTGTATATTTAATGGGCACAGGCAGGCTGTATATGTTATTCAATGGGCAATGGCAGGCTGTCTAATGTGTTATCCACTTACAGAGCTAGTTTACTGCTTTTCTTTGAAATAAATATTCAAAAACATTATTGGTATCTATTTTTATTTTTGAAATTTACCGGTAGCTGCTGCATTTCCCACCCTAGGCTTATACTCGAGTCAATAACTTTTCCAGTTTTTTGTGGTAAAATTAGGTGCCTCGGCTTATATTCGGGTCGGCCTATACTCGAGTATATACGGTAATACCTTATGTCCTTAACAATTAGGTAGGGATATATATCTCATCCACTATTCATCCCAGTGGATCAGAATTTAATCTTTCATTCTTTGGTTTCATGTATGAATACAATACCTACATCCTTTGTAAAGAAAGAGATTCCAGTGCCTCTCCGTCTCTCTTTTGGTCTCCGTCTCTCTCTTACTGACTGCTTGTTTGAAGTTCTATCATCCAGGTCCTGATCTTCGTATTCTGTTAAAAGAAACAAAGCTTTAGCTAAAAATAGTAATTTATTCAAACATGGGACCATTTTCAAAGTAAGGCAAGATAGTACTTATGCAGAGAGATTTGTCTAGCCTCATCGCTACCAATCTATACCAATATGTATTTTAATGTTTAACACCAAACATCAGTGGGTCTATCAAGTAGAAGTAGTCCTCAGTTAATAACCATTTTTTTAGTGACCATTCAAATTTACAATGGCAACTGCAGTCACTTGACTGCGATCTGCATCTTTTCCTGCTGGCTTCCCATAAGCAAAGTCAATGGGGATGCTGACAGGAAGATTGCCAGTTGCTTGGGTAAGTTTCCTCCACCCATACACACCTCACTGTGCTTGTGCCTCACTCCCTTGGGCACTTGTGCTCACTTGCACACTTTCTCCCATCTGTCAACAGCCACTCCAAACCCTAATGTATCAAGGTTGCATCTCCCTACCACCTATGGACCGTTTGCTCCCTGTCTCCTTGACAATCACTTACCTGCCTGCTGGTAAGCCTCTCGGGACTTGCAACTTCCTGCCGGCTCCCCCACCAACTTCGGTTGTTGGAAGGCAGCAGGACAAGGAGAAGCTTGCATAGTGACCAAAAGCAATGGGTACTTAAGGGATTGCTAAGCAATGATATTAAGCTTTATGACCGCATTATTTAGAAATTCTGGCCAAATTGCCATCATAAATCAAAACCATTTATAGTGGATTCAAAGATTGCAAGAGATTACTGATTCAAAAACAGAGATGGAGAAGAATTACTATTCTTCCCAAAGAAAAGGTGTAAGATTTACCCCAAATAATTGTAAAAAAAAACACAAAACACTTGAAGAAAGGTATTCCCCCTCTCACTGATGGGCTGATATATTTAATATGTCTCTCATATAGGCATCAATTCAAGCAGTTATAAAATATAGCAATATAAGAAGTAAATACCATTTTTCTCCATGTTGCCAGCTGATGTGCTTTGGTAATCTGCTGAGCTTAATGAATCAGAAGATGTAAATCTACTTGTTTTGGGCATGTGAGAACTTGAATAAAGACTGGAAGTTAATGAAGGAGAGACAGCAGTTGTAGGTTTGTCTTGTTGTGCTAGGTATCTCAATCGACGACCAGAAGACTAGAGGCAAGGCAGAAATATATAAAATTACTTGTGATATAAATAAAATTGGTTAACTAGAACTTTATCCTCCAAAAAGCAGTAATGTGCCTTGACTGACTTTAAAAGGGAATAAGATACATTCATGGAAGAAAATATTAATAGTTTTGACAGCTATATGTCAGTTCTAGCATCAGAGCTGGTTTGATATTATAATACAAGTTAAGACGGTGCTATTATACCCTTTCTTTACTTCCGGGTTTCCCATAAGCACCTGGCTGACTTTCCTCTGATCTGGTAGAACACTTATAATTATTATTGTTCACATCTTCTGCAGAAGCCATTTAATGACATTTAAAAGGTATTTATCAAGTTATGACATCTGGCCCTGCCCTTGAAATAAAATGTCAACACTGCAAAGACAGATTTGTTTCAACAAGTTATATTTGGACAGATTGTCGAGTCATTCTGAATACAAGTATAATCAAATCTGCTGATTAAGGTGTATATGTCTTCACAAAGATCCATTGCTATGGTATAAAAATAAAAACATACATTACAGAAGTGAACAGCTATTTCTTTTAATAACCATCTTGTAAAAAAGATGGGATACAAATTAAATACATACTTTCCCCTTCAAATGTAATTCAAATCTGTTACTCATCAAATGCCGTAATTTTTTTTTTTGGGGGGGGGGAGGTTTTATGTATGGTTTTACTTGCCTCTTCATCCAAGTTTCTAGTCCATGGTGAGTTGATCTCCCTGGATTCTCTTCTGGTAATATCTTCTTGTTTTCCACCACTTCCCTCACTAGCTCTGAGGCGGTCTGACCTTTCACTAGGCTGTTCCTGAGTAAACCGCTCTGCACGAGACTGGCTAAATGTTTTCTCTGCCTCCTGCAGGTCTGTAAGTGTTATACCCTGGGAAATAAGACAGTCCTTGTTAATGTGGTGTCTCTTTATAGCGTGGATCCCCAACCCCCGGGCCATTGACCAGTACCCGCCTATAGCTTATTAGAAACTGGGCTGCACAGCTGGAGGTGAATGGCAGGTGAGCAAGCAAAACTGAAACAACAACTACCCCCCTGATCCATGGAAAAATGTCTTCCACAAAACCAGCCCCTGGTGCCAAAAAAATTGGTGATCACTACTTTACAATTAATAAAAATCCCATCATAAATTATTCTTCCCATAGTCAATAAGCTTGGTAAAGTTCTAATCAGGTGATAGTCTGATAATCAATAAACTCAAAGCTAGGAATTAGTACTTCAAAGTATGCTAACTTAATTATCCATTAAATATAGCATTTCCAAATATTCAATATGAAGTAATGGCAAATAAATATTTCTTCTCTGATGAAAAATAATTAGCTTTATAAAAATAACAATTCCATAACTTGTTAATAGTCTTTCTTGAAAATAGATATAAATTTTGAGAAGTAATATAAATTTATTTAAAGGAGGTCTTTTAATGGCCAAAGATGTATAAGAAATGTTCCATTCTGAAGTGGATTAAGAGAAAAAACGATGCAGGACAAGTTAAATAATTTAGAGATCATATTACCTTCTTCTGTAGAAGTTAATATTTCTTACCTGGGTAGATCTGCGAGTCTGACGAGCTTGCCTAGATCGAGCTTTCCTTAGAGATTCTGCTTCTTCATCCCTTACAGGTGTCAGATAGGACCTAAAATATAATAATTTAAAAAAAAAAACCTTTAAACAGAAAAATAGCTTATGCAAATAAGAATTTCTGCTTATTCAAACAGTTGAGTTTTTCATCTGCTGCAGGGTGTGAAGAGGGGTACCTTATGTTGAAAATAAAACATATGGGCAATTTAATTACTGAGTTTGTATAATTAGAAAGAATAAATAGATACACTAATTTTTTTAAGTAACTTGCATGCAATTCTATACATAAAAGTATAACAAGGACATAATCTTGATGGACTGCTACAATAAACATCAGAAATCAGAGCCCAGTCATTGACAAACACTAAGAATTTTTAGCATACATATAGCAATGGACTTTGGCCTAGGGCCTAGAGGTGGCACGTGGAACCACATTTGCTGGCACGCCAGCAGTCAGCTCCAGTGTGCATGCACACACCGGCCAACTGATTTTCAGCCTACTGTAGGGCTGGGGAAGGCCATTTTTCCCTTCAGGAAAGCCTCCGGAAACTGGGGAGGGGGAAAAATGGCCCCAATGAACCAACCGGAAGTTCCGGAATGATCTGTTTCTGACTTCCAGGGGTCCTCCAGGGGAGGCTGTTTTCACCCTCCCCAAGCTTCAGGAAAGCCTCCGGAGCCTGAGGAGGGGTTGTGCGCACATGGGTGAGGGGGCGATGTCATGCACACAGGTGCTGGTAGGCAGGGAGGATTGAATTGACGTGGGCATACATGTGCGCGCAATAGTGCGCACACACAATTTTGGCACACTATAAGAAAAAGGTTCGCCATCACTGGCCTAGAGATTCACTACAGTATAATAAAGCAGGATAAAATCACAAACAGTAATGGAATTGAAATGCCAAATGGCCACATCATCAGGAGCCATCATGATGAAGCCTACAAGTGTCTGGGCATTTTACAATTGGATAGCCTCAAGCTCAGACAAGTCAAAAATGTGGTTTATAAAAAACACATTCAAAGACTAAGAACTGCAAGAGACAAAATGGAATGCTGCAAACACCATTAAAACCTTTCATACTCGGGCCACGCCTGTGATATAATACACTGGCAATACAAGCCATTGTTGATTCTGGGCAACTGCTTGGACTAGCCCTGCAGTTTTCCTGGCAAGACTTTGGAACTGGTTTGCCACTGTTTGTTTCCTAGAGCTGAGAAAGTGACTCGCCCAAAGACACCCAAGTGGATTTGTGCCTAAGGTGCGGCTGGAATTGAGACTTTCCGGATTTCTATCCCAGTGCCTTAACAGCTTCCTTAAAATGGATACATTTAAGAATAGATTGACAATATATAATTTTGATTCACTTTGAATTATATTAAATTGAAAAAGTATACATGGGCCTTGTTTTTAGCTGTAAATTGGATGGGGGTGGGGACTGAAATTCAATAAAAACTGCCTGGTTTACTCTAATTTGAATTTTAAATGTTATTTAGCAAAAACATAAATTGGAAACTCTATATATTGGTATTTCATCCCATTGTGTTTTGCTTCCTTTTATGTTAGGTACAGTATATTTGAATCAAGAGGGTACAGTATTGATTTCTTGTAATGGCATATTTTGGGATATTTGACTATATAAAGATCATTACTGCATGTAAATCCATTATGTGACAAAGGTTTGAATCCTTGGTCTAATTTTTCCATGCTCCAAGTTTCTTTCCTGTTTTTTTAAACATAATTATATCTTATCAGTACTACTAGGAAAATAGTGTAGAAATTATTGTATTTTGTTTCAACAGTGTCTTGCACTTAATTTTTTGAATAAATATTGACATTCAAGTTTTCAAATAGATTACCGCCTTCTTTTTCAGAGCACCCACCAAAATAAAGGTTAGTCATGACACAGAAACTGAGATATTAAAAGAAAAATGTAATAATTGACTGGAGCTTATGGGAAAAGAGTATATAGGTGGTCCTCAACATACAAACACAATTGAGCCCAAAATTTCTGTTGCTGAGTGAGACAGATAAATGAGGTTTGCTCCATTTTATGACCTTTCTTGCCAGTTATTAAGTGAATCACTGCAGTTGTTTTATTAGTAACATGGCTGTTAAGTGAATCTGGTTTCCCCATGACCATGAGGTTGCTGCAATGGTCATAAGTGTGAAAAATGGTCATAAGTCCCTATTTTCATTGCTGTTGCAACTCTAAATGGTTACTAAACGAATGGTTGTAAGTGAAGGACTTCCTGTAATAGTGTCTTCTATGTAAAGTCACACTCTGGATTTATCCAATCCTCTTTGAAAACTGTGTTGTTGCCCATGATTATATTTAGTTGTAGTAAATTCTAGTTTAACTATGCCCTGTGAAAAGTAGGATTTCTTTTTGCCTATCTATAATCTCCAATCACTTCTGAAACAATAAATGATCCCAGAGTCGAGTACTGTGAAAGAGAAAGAAACAATGTATTTACTTTTCTCATGTCCTTCCTAACGAAACTGTTTTGATAAGTTTATGCCCCAAATTTCTTCAAAAGCTTTTTTCCTCAAGAAATTCAAGCCTATCTACATAGCACTCTCTCCTGCACAAAAACGAACACCTGTGACTGAGTGAGAACTTCAACCCTAGTTTAGTCCAACACCATAATTGTCATATTGCAAAGGGCCCACACAATGTCATTGGTCTACGAAAAAATTGCAGAAGGAGTAAGGAGCCCTCTTGTCCCCAGATTCCTAGAGGAAAAATAGCATAGAAGGCAAACAAATAACAGGTGAATAATATTTAATTAGTACTGTAAGTATTGTAATTTGTACTATGATTTTGAAAATTGAAAAATACTGTCAAGCAGATTATTTTAGCTGCATTTATCTGAAATGGTGGGACACATTTTCAAAGTAAACAAAAGAACTGAAGAAGTAGCAATCATAACTCAAAAAACTGAAGTGAAAGGTAGCATCTCATTCTCAGTATATGAAATATGACATGTGATAAATGATGCTATCTATATCGGCTGATCTGTGGTTTAGACATCGGATTCTTTAATGTAGAAATTAGCACATAATTTTAAAAGTTAGACACTATTCCATTTGAGGTTAAAAAGACAGCAAGTCATCTACTGCCATCTTGTGGAATGAAGAAATCTAGAAAGATGCATATCTGTACAACGGAAAAAGACTAGCAATTGTTTGTCTTAATTGCAAAAGACTTGTAAAATTAGACTTCCCACTACTTTAAATATCCTTATGTATTTCCGCATAACTATTTAAATGTTAACTTTTACTAATACTTATTGCTTGAAGGAAAATAGTTAAAACTTTAGCCAAACTACTCCGTTCACAAGCCATAGTTCATTAACACAATGTAGATAAACAATTAACTATTATTTTCTGAGCATAAAGACCCAAAAAGAATGTTGTTTGCAAAATATCCTGGTCAAATTAAGCGAGCATGCATAATCAATTTAATTAAAAATTAAAAAAACAGCACAATAGACAATACAGATACTAATTAAAAGCTATTTTAGCCATTTTGTTGGGAGCAAACAGTAAATTTAAGATATCATTTTAGGATATTATTAACATACCCATGGTTCTCTTCATAGCCTTTGTAATGAGGATTATAAGTATATAGGTTTATATACTTGTATTTATAAGTTATCAATATAAATGTAGAAGTTACCTGTTACTCTATTTTATCTGCCAGCCTTCCCTTCAGATTTAAAATTAAATCTCAATGAAAGCACCAAAAATGCCCACCTTGAACCTTTACAGGCAGACTGCCCAGGAGCTGAAATTCTTTCATGGACCGCTGCATAGGAAATCAGGAATTCAATAATAACACACAAGTCCTGACCTCTTCAAAACAACAAAAAAAATGCAGCTTGCTGTCTGATAAAGCAACAGTAACCTTTTCTCTTCCGAACATGGAAATAATAGGAAGTCTGAAATAGCAGACAGAATTCTTCCCTATCCTACATTGTCACCAGCACTGGCAGCTTGCTTTCTAAAAGGACAACCTTATCACAAAGCAATTAACAAGGAAAGCAGGGCTGATAAGCACTCTCAACAGTAGGTGTTGGATGACTGCAAGCTTCTTTAAGCATTTAGAATCCTTTGCTGTCCTTCCCTAACACAGCATGAAGGGACAGATCAGTCTTAGTTCCCTACAGACTAAATTCATACAGAATACTTAACCAGGTTAAGGATGCGGAGCAGTGAGTACACAAACTACTACGTTAGAACAGTTTTAAAGCTGGCTAGTTCTTCTGGGCCTAAGCGTGATTATACAAACACAGCCTGTTTAGTTTATTGTTCTATTTAAAGTGCAACTTCAGATTTAAGAAGAAGCAACTTCAGATTTAAGAAGAAGCAATTTAAGAAGAAGCAAGTTAAAGAATCAGCCAGATCTTAAAAGGACAATTCTGGCATCCTTTATTTTAACGACAATATTAGTGTGTGCTATATATCAAAAACTTGTACACTAAAAAATATCTGGTTCTATAACTTACAGAGTAGGAACCCAAACTTTCAAGCCAAATTTAACCAACCAACAAAGTCTCTCTGTCTTCGGAAATGTTTCCTGAAACCTCTCTGGTCTGCTATCTTTTTTCTCCTGATACTTGCAACTTTAAATAACTTCAAACAATATCCCAATCAAGGAACTGCCAAACATGTTAACAGTAGACAGCAGCCCAATCAAGGAACCACCAAGACCACTCCCACCAACCCTGACAAAGCAAGCCACTATTAGAGCAAACCCCACTCCTTACTAGTACTGATGATATTACCTAGTTTGGTAATGAAACATCCTCAAGAAAACATCCAAGCTCAGAGAACTCCAAGGACCCCACAATTCAAATAAATGGCATCACCTTAAACCAATATTTATTGACTGCTTGTTTTTCCAAAAATAGTATAAAGAAGCCTCTCAACGTTTTAGCTCTCTGAAAGACACTATCTGAAGATTTTTCCCTTTGTCTGCCTCTTCCTCTGACATTTAAGGAAGAATTGAATAAAAGTAATCTGGAACTCTTAAAGGTGCTCCTTCCAAAATAACTGATGCCTATATATGTATTTTGGGAAGGAAGAAGCTTAGAATCACTCTACCATGAGATAAATCCTGTTTCTCATCTCGTGTAGTATTTCAAGGCACAACAAACAGTATGTCAACTATCAAACAATATATTTATTCAGACACATATAATGATTATATTAGCCTTGATATATATATATATATATATATATATATATATATATATATATATATATATAGCTATTAGATTTTTTTACAACCCCCGGTATGCCCAAATATGGGAGGAACATCACTACTTCCATTCTCTGTCCTTCAGCTCATCACAAGAGACCATCCAGGCAGAAACCCAATATTTTTACTGTTGCCTTTTTGTTACATTTTGTTGTATTTGTGCTGATAAATAAATAAAGGGAGAATAGTATAGATCTATTTCAAGCTATTTAGCTCTCATCAGCTAGCCATACCCTTACTGGCAGACATCTTAGCCTAATGGCTAAGATGTCTGCCTAGTATGTAATATAGCCCAGGTTCAAATCCCAGTAAGGGTATGGCTAGCTGATGAGAGCTAAACAGCTTGAAATAGATCTATACTAGTCTCCCTTTATTTATTTATCAGCACAAATACAACAATATATATATGTAGGTCTCTAGTTATTCGGGTTTTCTCCCGCGTAAAATTGGAGATGTCTTGGCGACGTTTCATTTGTCTCATTCGTCATCTTCAGGCTACTTCAGGCTTGGTGTTTCCAGGAGCACCAAGCCTGAAGTAGCCTGAAGCACCTGAAGAAGCCTGAAGCACTTGCTCCTGGAAGCACCAAGCCTGAAGTAGCCTGAAGATGACGAATGAGACTTCGTCGAAACGTCGCCAAGACATCCCCAATTTTACGCAGGAGAAAACCCGAATAACTAGAGACCTACATACTAACACCCGCGAAAACCTCAGAAAACACACACACACACACACACATATACATACATACATACACACACACACATACATACATATATATATATATACACACACACATATACACACATACATACACACCATATTAATAAGGCATTATTATTTGTTAAGTTTTCATCTCATTTGTTTTAGCCAAAAGTAAATATAACGGTAATTTGCTTTGTTGATACTGTGACCTGTATAGAAGATACAGACACAGTCAAAAGTATTTTTTACCCTTCCACTTTCCCCTCTAAACAATCCAATTTTTTGCCATAAAATAAGTTGCAAGTGACACAAGTAAAAAGTCATCACTGTTCTTTATTCCATTGTACATTTAGCAGGAACTCTGCTTTTGATATACGACTTCATATATTCTTGTAAATAATAAAACAAGTGAAAATAACATGGATATAATTTTGGTCCTTATAATAATTATTTATAAGGTGCTTACTATTTACAAGAATATAAGTCATGCATCAAAAACAAAGTATTTGCTCTATGGACTATAGAATAATGGATGGTGGATGCCAAATGTTGGCCACAATGATAACTTAGCTTCGCATATATCACAATTTTCATACAGAAGGGACAGAATAAAAGTTGACAAAAACAAAGGAATCTTTAAAACACAGTTTTATAAAAAATGAGATAGTAAATTGAGATTGAAGAGGTTGTGGGAGAGAGTAATGGGGGAATAAATAAAGTTGTTATCATAGCTTACGTGAATTGAAAGAGAAGCTATTGAAAATGGAATGTTATTCTATTGATTTCTATCCAGAGTTAGGCTAGCTGGTGAAATCTAAAATAAAGTGAACAGTTGATCCTAATAAGGATTTATGGGAAGTAGAATGAGACTTGGAGAAGATTAAATTAAGTGTTTGAAGGTACAATCCAAAATAAAAAAGAACACTGAAGAGCACCATAGGAAAGTTTTTTTTCAAAAGCCATGGGCCGCAAATTAAATACAAGAACAGAAAATCAAAGGTTTGCTTCTCTGCAGATCATTAGCCGAAGTGAGATCATCTGTCAGGTCTTCAGACAATGAAGGATGGTATTTTGCCCATTCATTTGGTAAACCCTTTCCTTAAACACATATGGAAAAATAGGATTAGTCCTAATATCTAATGATATAAAGGAGTACTTATATGTTAGGAACACAATATCTTATGATTGTCTAATGAAAGATATGGCACAAAATGCTTTGCCATCTTGTGCTTACTAGAAAAGGAGGCAAATTGCCACCACAAAAAATGTAAATGTAAGCAATTCAGAAGTTAGAAACTTGAAAGTGCTTATCTGCTCCAACAAGGAATGGCTGATATTAAAATTGTTTCATACTGTTTCTGTAAGTTACACAAAAGGAACAAAAACTGGAACCTGTTTGAACCTGTATGCCTGTTTCAGTCAGATACTGGAACATACATAATCTATCACAGCTACCTGAATGTAATTCCATACGAGGAGCCGTGATGGCACAGTGGTTAGAATACAGTATTGCAGGCTGACTCTGCCTACTGCCAGGAGTTCGATCCTAACTGGTTCGAGGTTGACTCAGCCTTCCATCCTTCCGAAGTCAGTAAAATGAGGGCCCAGTTTGTTGGGGGCAATATGCTGGTGTTGTAAGCTGCTCAGAGTGTGCTGTAAAACACTACGAAGGAGTATATAAATCTAAATGCTATTGCTATTCATTCTTTTATTAATAAGGTGTGTTCTGTACTAGATAACTAAATGTCTCCTGAACTTTTGGGAAAATAGTCAGCTTGATGAAATAATTCAAGGAAGTCTAGCAGTGCTTATCTCAGTTATCTGGAAAGAGATCAGGCACCATACCAGTTCACAAGAAAGCTAAGGCTCTGCCTTAACAAGCTGAAAATTAAATTGAATTCTAAAATAAAGCAATCCAGTTATTGATATTTTGGCAATTTTATCTTACCAAATATAAAGTTACCCCTTGAACTGATTTTTAAAGAAGAACAAGAACAACATTAAAGACAACTCTTTTCCTTTATGTCATCTATCAAGACCCTGGCAAGTATTATGGCAGGAATAATCAAGACTTATTTGCTATTAACATATTAATCTGGAATAAAATGCTTAGGAACAACACGTTGGAGCTTAAGTTCTGTTTTCATCAGGCATTTCTGATCTATTAATAGAGCTATACAGCATGTGCTCCAAATTGATGCTGTCCAATATTGTTTAGCTAATAAAATCCATTCAGAGCAAAGTACTTTTGCTGATATTTATGAACGGACTGTCCCTATGGTTCTCTTTTCTAGATATTACTGGAACAGTTTAAGATGGGATTACATCAAAAGTGCTATCAGCAAAGTATGAATCAGAACTGTAGAGGAGCTTGTATGTAAAACCTGCAGATAAGGAATTGAACAAAGAACTGTGTTTTACAGATATCTTTCAGCATGCATAAAGATACGAGAGCGAATCAAGAAATTAGAGCATCTAAATGATTGTAACAGCACACTTTTGAAAGGAAGAACATTCCAGAGTGCTTACTCATTTTTTCATAAATTTAGGAATGCATTTAAATTTTAATCCAGTGACTTCAAATAGACAAGCAGCCTGTTATGGAGGCATCTTAATGTTCTAATATTAGTCTGGAAGTTTATGTTGTTGTTGCTAAGAGAACACTGTAGCTTTGGGAACATTGAGATAGATAAATGTGCTATTGTGACAGCTGCCACTAAATGTTGAAATCCCATACTAAAATATCTGGAAATATCTGTCATTTTTCATTTTAAGCTTCCATTAAAAAACTTCTTTAAAAAAATCTAGTGATCTGTCTTTCTCAGAACTTTTTTAAAATCTGCAACTTGCTCCTTGCTTAAGTGCCATAGGCTTTTAGCTAATTTAAATATTCAACAAAGACTAATCAACAAGCTCCTAAAGGAAATCAATCCTGATTGTCCTGTGGAAAGACAGATACTGAAGCTCAAATACTTGGGCCACAAGAGAGATGACTCATTGGAAAAGACCTGATGTTGGGAAAGACTGAAGGCAAAAGGAGGAGCAGCAGAAGATAAGATGTGTCATCAACGCAGTGGCCATGAATTTGGGTAGACTTAGGAAGACAGTGCAGCAAAAGGGGAGGGGGGCTGGCGTGCTATGATTCATGGGGTTGTGAAGAGTCAAATATGACTTAGCAACTGAAAATCAACAAGAAAAACAAATAATTGGCAAGTCCGAATTCAAATGTAATTCTCATTTTCTACCATGAGCCACAAAAAAATATCCAAGGCTCATCATTAATTAATATAAACTTTATATTTTGAAGCATTCCCTTTTAAAGAAATGGCAATTACAAAATCTGTAAGAAGAACTAATCTTTATTCCAGAAGTCTAAGGCCAGATAGGACTGCAATGTATTTGCTTAAACTTACAATCAAGGAACAGAACAAGAATAAATATGTAAAATTATGAGCAGATACTTGCAGTAAAATATAAGTGGAATCAAAAAAGGTATTGAGAGTAATTCTAATATTAATTTATACAAACAAAAATTCTTTAATAAGAATTAATAAGTAAAATGTAAAAGCTTTTTACACTGTTTCAACTTTCTGTATAGAATATTCACCATGGAAAATTTACCAGATCAAAATAGAAGCTAGAATTCATTTACTTCACATTTCCTGAATGACAACACTAGTACTAGGAAACATTTAATAATAAAGTGAAGAATAAACCCTATCAAATGATGTTATTATATGAATAACATGAATTTTAGTGAAAGTAATTTTTATATTCAGAAGTATATATACCATGGCTCAGAGCACAACTTCAGTTGTACTAAATTATATGCTCATGTTCTAACAAAAAGCAAAGCAAATTGATATGATTGTTAAAACAAGGCAAAAAAATGTTTTTGTATAGCTTAATATGATCCTACCTACTTGTGGATCTGTGTCATGCAGTTAATGCATCTCATAACCCCATAAAAGGCTTACTAACCTTCTTCGATCCCTGGCATCACCAGCAGATGACTCTGTTCCAGTCAGTGAGTTAGAATTAGTAGTTGTGACACCATTGGAACTTCCAGGTACAGTGAGATTTGTTATGGCACTTAATGGAATGCTAGAAGAGACGGCCTCTGTGCTCTTCTCTGTGGTAGAGTCACTTTGTTGTCGGTAAGGGGCTCTGAAAGACACAAAATGAACTTATAAATAATTGTAAAATGCTTTAGCAGAAGGAAGAGAAACAAAATGAATATCACTGTTAATAGAACAGTCATCTGAACACTTTTATGCAATAATAGTGATTTCTTCTTAGTGCCATAAATAATGACAATGAATATGATTAAAAGTATTAGAATAGGAATGAAGAAAGGTAATTCCCTGCCTCCATCAGGTGAAGTTAGCAAAGCAATTGAGCATAAATGACAGAAGAAAGAGTTAACAATTGGAGAACTGTAATTAAAAAATCCAAGAAGAAAGTTCTTAATACAAATTAGGATATTATAGCTGGATGATAAAGAACTGCTTTGACGTGTGTTGGGCTATCAATGTCTCTAACTCTTTACAGCAGGTGCTTCTTTCTCAGGATCAAAGAGCTGACCTCCATAGCTGCTGCATAATTCAAGGAAAAGACGTGGTCCTTTAAAGAGCAGATGCTACTTTCCCACCCTTATGAGCTCCAAAGCACCTTTTTGGAATTGAATCAAAAGATAACAAGCTTACTAACGAGATATAGGTTCAGAATTAGAGTAATCAGTAGAAATCATAAAAATATAATCTTCTTATTGCCTAAATAACATCCTAGATGGCAGAACCATTGGAAAAAACATTCAAAATGAAACATTATACCAGTGTCTTGACAGCAATAATACTGGATTCCTTTATAAGTCCTCTTCATTATCATTTTGCCATATTATGATCCCTTACCTGGTAGACTGGTAAACTGATGGTGTAGTGTTAAACCTGGTAGATGTTGGGCAAGGGGCAATCTGCCACTCTGTGCCCAATGAGGTAGATGAATCAATAATAGTAGATGAGGTAGTAGAACATGCATTGCGATTAGCTGAAATGTAGGGACTGCTGATTTCACTACTTCTACCAAATGAAGCACTGTAAGATAGCAGAAAAAATCAATTTCTTCAGAAATTCTTTAGAGACAATATTAAGACTAGCACATGACCTATTCAGTGCTAAAGAAATATTCCACAAAATGAAAAGAGAAATTAGAAATCAAGAATTGCTTTTTTGGTTAAGATCAAGTGTGATCAGGCATGCTTAGGTTAAGTCAAAGAAGCAAGATGTTGAATCAAGATTGAAGACAGAAAAAGTAATAAGAAAAAGCAAATGAAAATATGTGTTCATTGCACATGATGTATCTAAATAAAATTATTCTGTTCGATAAAAGAACAGAATGAAAGAGTCTTGACTAAGAAGAAAAGATCAGACATAACAAAGGTTTTTTTAAAGTTGCAAAAGTAGAATTTAAAGGAGAATGATAAAGTGTATATGAAAATGCAAAGACAAAGTAAACAAAACTATTACTAAGTTCAATTTAGCCTACAGATAAATATGGATACCAACATTAATTCCAATTCTAGTTCCAAATATACTAACCACAAAACCTCAGTCCAAAATTATGCTTTATAATACAGTTACTGAACCTATCAAGCATAATTAATACAAATCTCCACTTTACTACATTCAGGGAGGCCAGACTCAGAAATAATAAAAAAATCTATGTCATATTGATGATATATACTAACAGTTAAAACTATTTAATGTTGCATTTGGCAAATAGTATAATTATGTTTAAAATGTTTAAAATACTACATACAATATTTAATAAACTTTGTATAAGATTCATATCTTGATGCTACTAAGATTCTGCTCGAAAGAATGTCTACATTTCCATAATGGGAAAGAATGCTCATTGAGAAATCTATTCCATATTATAATTATCAAAGAAATCATAATTCAGTTTGTTGCCTATGCAAGAACTTTTTTTAAAAGCATAAAAATATTTTCACAAAGATCACTAAGGTGCAACAAGTTCATTCAGCACTTGAAAATTACTTATGTTGCTACTTTCAAAAAATGAACCTGAAAAAAAGGTATGCACAAAACAAGTGACTAAATGAACCACTTTTCCAATTTATTATTTAGTGTTTTTCTTATATTATGTTTTTGTAGATTTATTCAAATGGAAAGATGTGGGCGGATTGTTTTGTTAACTACTAAATACATATTGTATGTGCAAGAATATAAATAGAAAATGCCTAATGATCAACATATTCAATTAAATTAGGACATGAATCACAACAGTAAGAAATTCCTTACAGATTATTCCTAGAATCAGGATTGGGGGCGGGGGGGATAAGGTTGAATGGCAACATGAGCAATGGATCTGACAGTATTGTGTTTAGACTGAAGGATAAGGTAGAATAAATCAAATTTAGTCCATTTCATAAATAAACAGACTACATGTACCAGAAACAATATGAAGCAGACAATCAATAATGCAAGAGTTTAGATTACAGCTAGCAAGCTATCTGTGATCAGGTAAATTTTTGTATTATCAAAAATGCTGTGATTGTAAGCAGCCTAATTAAAAATTAAGACTGCTAGTTTTTCTTTACCTAATAGGCAACAATGAATAAATAAATATCAAATACTTTGAACTCAATATTCTACTTAAACTAGAGTTTAGTAAAATAAAATGCTATTATGGAAAAAAAAACTGAAGCTTCTGCTAAGTTTGATTACGATCCAGTTGTACATTTCTTTTGATTTCTCCTATGTTGCTTTTCCAGAATTAATCAGAATTGATTTATCCTATACCTGATAATTTGGGCAAACTAAGAATTATAAAATCCAAGGACACAAATGCTCTAACAAATCCTGGAATTAGATTAGAAGAAATGCAGAATAACCTTGGATAATGAGATGAGTGGCATATAAATGTAATAAATAAATAAATAGTTATTTTCACAAGTGTGTTTGTAATAGGCCTAACTAATAATAGCAGAAACAAACAAGCCATTAAAATATTTAAAGCTATGCTTGCAATACTGAATTTTTTAAAAATGAAAACAATTTGTATTGCAAGTAGGAGACTATACGTATTATTATGGGAATGTATTTCTAATTGAGCAGTGGGCCTATTTTCTATGTTCTTCTCGTGTTTTTACCACCTGTACTATCCCAAAGCTTACCGGAATACTTGCTATCTCTTTAAAGACAGCTTGTGAAGCGGAGGAATAATCCCTTCTGTCATTGGGCTGCTGGGCTGACATTAATGATATAATTCATTGTAAGAATAATTTACATGCAGATGGTTCAAAAAGAAATATACTTTCCTTTTCAGAACATAACCTGACATTAATACAATTTTTAGTTACATTATCTAATGTAACTAAACCCTATTGCTGATACCTATGCCACATTCTCAGCACATGAGCTACTGCTGCCAAAATGTTATGTTTTTCAACCCTGCTTTTAAACTCATCTAGGCTAAAATATTGGCCATGTCTTTTCCAGATTTATGAAAAAAAATCCTATAAAAACTATACATATATACCCTTTTCTGTATGTAATAATGTCTGCATATTTGCTTTTCAGGTTTTTTTAAATTATTTCAAAGCAAATGGCAAAAGTGTATGCATAGCACACAAGAAGCAAAATTTTCAGTATTTCCACAATATACCCTTAACCCCCAGTATGGTTTTAGATTAAAATAACACTTTCTTTTATTTCTCCTCTTTCACAAGATATATTTTCTATATGGATAAAGATTTCATGTAGAAAAAAATTAAAATGTTGATAAATCAATGTTCTAATTATGCAAACAGAGGCAAGTAGATGGGCTATGCCGTTTATATTTTGCTTTTCTGGTTTTATGAGAGTCAGAATTTTTACTAAACTGTTTAAAGTTAATGCAACCTTGTACGCTTTTCCACCAAAAGTTTTAAACACACCTTACCTTTTCAAATAGGTAGATATGTAGGTGGAAGGTGCACCAGTTGTAGGGGCTTCATTCCCCTTTGGTTCCTCCCTCCATTGTTGGCGAGAGTAAGGACCACTCCGTACCAAGTTAACAGCAGATTCTCTAAAATGGCAAATTGGGAAAGAGGGTGTATGTGTGATTACAATTTTGTGTTTTATATTCTTCAATTCTGACAATCTATGATAAGACACAAAGATTATACTGGTTTGACATTCTGTTTTGCGTGGTTTAGCCACAAACACAACCAAAATCTTTCTCCCTTAACCTATAAAAGTTAAAAATCACCATCCTCTGGTTCACTTTTAAATTGCTAAGTCAACTGAGTGGTGTGATGAATTGCTCCTTGTTCAGCAGTGTTCCTAAACTGCATTCAGTTGGCATAATACATTAAAAATAAATAAGGGACAGCAACAACCTTTTAATATTAAAACAAGCAGAATTTTCTGGGATTGAGTATGTCATCCAAATGCACCTATGCCATTGAGAAATATGCAGGTAGTCTATAACAGCAGTATTTCAACTGTAATCACATTCTGATCTATTTACCCAAATCCAAGCAAAATGCATGCTTGCCAAGATCAAACTAATGCTGGAGAAAAAAAATACTGGAAAATAAAAACCAGCTGTTAAGAACACAGCATTTTATATAAATATCTTCTATGTTCCCTGAACTGTCAGTAAATAATAATATACACTGATAAGAATTAAAGACTAGAATAAGAATCAATTTTGAAGAACAGTTCTAATAGATAACTTTTAAAATACATAGTTTGAGTAAAGTGTATAATGTGTATGAACAGGTCCTGTTCTCTGGTTATTTTTATATTTTGCAGTAATTGAAATATTTCATTCTAAAATGTAAGACTAATTAGACAAACCATGTAAACTATATATGAAATAAAAACCATATATATTCAATTCTCTTATAATTTTTAAGGTGGTGACATAAAAGAACTACAGCCTTGGTGCAGGTCCTGAGGAAATGCCAGGGTCACAGTCTTGCTCTGTTATCTGTGAATGCTTTGAATGTGTTGGGTTAGAGGAAGTTTTGACTATGAGCTTGGCCTTTTGTTGACTCCTTGACTCCTTTTGACTATGAGCTTGGCCATTTGTTCATTCATTCCATGTCCACCTCCCCACACAAATAGCTAAATTCACCTAGGAGGTGACATACAGTATGATTGGGTTCTAGTGCTTATGAATTCTTCTTCAAGGGAGAGGGATGTTCCTGCACCTCATAAGGAGGCGTCACATTTGTCAGATGGACAGTTATATAAATTTGATAAATAAATAAGCAAGGAAGTCATAACTAATAAATGTTACTGTATCAGAACAGTATTTTAGTTATAGTTATATAACTTCAGTTATAGCTTAATGATAAAATGAATTGGCTGGTCTCCAAATGCTAAGCAGTCTTGGATCTGGTTCATATTTGAGTGGAAGAAGTCTATTAAATAACAGGCCTATTAGCTAGACTAGAAAATTGGGGGGGGGGACCCCACTGCCAAGAAAATTATATGGACTTGTTGGAGGATTTTTATGGGTTTATATTTTTATTGCAAAATGTAACCAAGATGTAGGAGAAATAAGGAAAGCAAGGGAGAAAACTGTTTCACAAATTCAGGCCATAAACATTTACTCCTATAAATCTACTGAAAGGCTCTTACCTGTTTTCTTTTTCTTCAATGTCACCTGTATTATTTAATTTTCGAGGGGATATTGAAGCAAAATAGATCCTATTATCCTTGTCCTGCTGAAATAAGAACAAATTCCTAAATTATAACAATTTTTGGACAAAAAATAATTATCTCAAACAATGACTGAAAAATGATACATAATTTTGACATACACTATTTTAAATTAACTGCTTACCAAATCTGAACTGATAATTGTGTATAAATCCATTACAGTATTGTCTCAATTCTTACTTTAGAAAAATGTTTTACTTTTTTTAATTGTTCGATACATAATATAACATGAAGGAATGTGCATAATTAATTTTTTTAAAATCACAGGAGTAAACAAATATATAACTCCCCTCAAAGTATTTTGGAATTGTGCACTTTTGTACAATTGTACAGAAAAAATGTACAATTTTTCAGTCTCATACATTTCAGGATACAAAATTAGTTTCAAACCCATAATTTAATTATATTTAATATATTGATGAAACCAGCAGCTTAATGAAGACATTAAATAAGATGGGGAGAGACCAATACCCTGGACCACCCAACACTTGAATGTCTAAGGACTCAACGACTTCCTCTCCAATAATATTGGGAAGAATATAGAAAAGTTCTTCATCTCCAACTACAGGCCATTCACAAAAGTGATCAATAGCCAGACCTTAGTAGATGGTATAACTCATCTAGAAATCATTTACTTGGAGACCAAGTACCAACTACAAGAATTATCTAAGACATTTGGATCTAGGAATGACTTTTTCAAACAGAGCACATCACTGCCTTTTCCAAGACCAATAGAATTAGAGCTGAACCAATCCACAGAGGAACTACAATTAGAAGTAAGTGCTGGATAGCACTGACCATGATCAAGATCAGCACCAATATAATCTGTATTCATAATTTAAAGTGAAGAAAAAGTGTTAGATTTTGAAAGAGAAAAAAGATAGATAACAATCTATCATAGATTCCATTCCTCAAATGGAGTTAAGTCAATTTCTGTATGACAGAAAAAGCAAATCCTAATTCTAGTTAACAAGTATAGCATTGCACAAAAACAAAACAAAACAGCAATTAGACTATTCAGCATTATTTTAGTTTTCAAAACATAGATTTCAAAGACAGGGAAGCCAAATGATTGTGTACCTTTTCTTGGTTATCTAATAGTGCAGATATCCGAGGGGTTGAAGAAGAGTAATAGATGGAGCTGCCTTTCTCTTTGTCACGGGGCATGCTGTCCTCACTAAGTGCATTTTGGCTGCTAGTTTTCCGCAAGCTTAGCCTCCATGATGATGGTGATTCATCTTTTTGTTCTTCAGGCTTGTTGACCAATGAACTACACTGTAAAAGGTGGTAGAGAAAGTGGCTTGAGGACATAATTGGAAAACCCTCAATTACCTCATTCCAACACAATGACAGTGTCAACAAGGGAACAATGACTCAGAGAGGTAGCAGTTCCTTTCACTGTATGCCTTTAAGCAGACTTTAGCCAGCCATGTTTCATTTGAATTCCTGCACTAAACAGCAACTTCGATTCAATGGCTTAAATTGCCCTTTTCAGCTCTAAGAGTTTGTCGTCTCTTGTCCAACTAAAATGATTCCTTTCTACCTCACAGATGATCCAAATCTACTGCAAAGGGGAGCTCCAGAGTGCATGTTGGCTTGAGAAAGGCATATATGTTCTCTAAGATAAGCCATTCTACTGAAATGCCAAGAAATGCCTTCTTAAATGCCAAAACAATGGTATTGAAATATCATATTTTCTAATTAAATTTATAGAAAATATCATACCAACACTTGTATGTGTGTCTGTTCCCCATTCACATACACCAACTCTAAAATTTTAATTTGTCCATGTTAGTGCTTTTTATAATCATGCATTAATCGATCTCGTTTAAACATATTGCGATGATTTTTTTTGTTTTAGAAGTCAGAGGCTGACTCATTCAAAGCAAGTTATAATATACATAGCAGAGGCACTATAAACAATAGTTAGGTTCCAATAGACAGTTTAATCTAAGCTAAATGTTCAATCCCTATCAAGTATTTCAATATCACCTAAATAAATCAGAGGCACTAAATTAATTTATACTGTAATCCAATTAGTGAATAAGGAAACAGAAAAAGGGCATCAAGATTATATGAGAGATCAAGGAGTTGCTAAGAGAAGCCTATACAAAGCTGATCAAGAACATGATTAGAGGATTGACACCACAAATGGCAGAAGATGAGACTGTTTTGCTGTTGGAAAGACACAGGTTGATAGATGGCAACATAATTTAAAACTAGTTAAACTTAGTAAAATTTATTGATAATAGATATAGCTTAAATAAACAACTGATAATGTTACTAATGTATACAATGTGTAGTGTTATGATGAGTATAATTGGATATGAATATTGAATGGTACCCATGTAAGAAGATTAGCAATCTCTTTGGATTATATAATTATTATTATTATTATTATTATTATTATTATTATTATTATTATTATTATTATTATCCTTTATGTATAATCCAAAGGGATTGCTAATCTTCCTTACATGGATACCATTCAATATTCATATCCAATTATACTCATCATCACACTACACATTGTATACCTTAGTAACCTTATCAGTTGTTTATTTAAGCTATATCTATTATCAATAAATTCCACTAAGTTTAACTAGTTTTAAATTATGTTCTTCCATCTATCAACCTGTGTGTTTCCAATAGCAAAACAGTCTCATATCTTCTGCCATTTGTGGTGTCAATCCTCTAATCATCTTCTTGACCAGCTTTGTATAGACTTCTCTTAGCAGCTTCTCGCTTATAAGATCTCTCATATAATCTTGATGCCCTCTTTCTGTTTCCTTATTCAGCTTATCTTTGATTATCAGCAATGTTATCAATGCTTTTGCTAATAGAATTTCTCTCTTTAAATCCATAGATTCTTTTGTTTTTTCTTCTTCTATATCTTGCCCTCTGGAATAAATTTCTTCTCCATTTAATTCCTCTTTCAGTATTCCATTCTTTCCATTT